AGCAAAGTCCTTATCCACAGAGAAGGTAAATTTTCATCTTAAAGGAGGGAAGAAGAAAACAAATGATAGGTCAGCTTAATGAAAATGGAATAGGAAAAGAACAAAAACCTACCGGGTAAAAACAAGAAAGTCGGGTGGGGAAGGAATTCCATTTTTCTCAACAAAATGAGTCCTTCGCAACTAGTGATTTCCCGACAGTTTCTTTGTTTCCAGGCTTCTTTCAATGTTATCGATTATCGGTTCCACCACGATTCCAGTGGAATCCATCAACGCTGAGGAAATACACCACTGGAGTCGTACAGGTGTTCCCTGGATTTTGTCTAGAAAGAGCCCCGGGTTCGGATGGAACGAGGCGAACCCATGAACAGACACTCATCTCTGGAGAGGGAGGCTGGCTGACCACGGGCCTCGTAAGTTTCTGGATCCTTGATTACACATTGGGTTTTCTCGTAAAGTTCGAGCCATCGTCCCAAATGATTGCCGAGAAATCCCCAACACCAAGCAACTGGCAGATTTCGGGGAGTGACATGCGATCTTGGTAGCCGGCTCGTGAAACCGATAAACCATTGAGAAAGATGTTGTCAGATGTTGTTGTGGGTTGATTTGGGTGTGGTAAAGAGGTAGAGATTGTGTCATTGTGGGTTGAGTTGGGTGCGGTAAAGAGGTAGAGATTGGGATCCAATCAATGGGCACGTGCCCAATCACAGCCTGGTGGATTGATTGGCAGCTGTGTGAGGCAAAAACCGCCAGATTAAACCCAGGCTGTGCACCCTAATCACATAGCTTTAAGACTTGGAAAACTTCCGTTTGTCCAAGCTTTCTTCAAAAGACAATACATGAAAATTAGAATGTGGTTTGAATAATGAATATTCAGAATTCCACAACCACAATAATGAGAAAAAAAGAAGAAGATATTCCCCAGTCATTAGTTCAAGAAAAAGGACTACTACTTAGGGTTCATGGACTACAAAAGTGTGATCAGTCAACAAAAAACATGCTTTAATCTAGTTTAATTAAAGAGTGATTAGAAAAAAGAAAGACAGTTGAAAGAAGTTACTTTTAGGGATGAGTGGAAAAGAGACCAAAATTCCAACACTTTAACAGATTTTGTCCAAGCTTTGGAGGACCATCAATCAAGTTGAGCTGCTGTTATAAACAATCACAAATGTTCAAAATAAAACAGCACTGGTATCTATCTGGTTTACCAAACTTCTTTGAGATGGATCAATTGCTAACCAATAGCCCAACAAAAACCTACCTTCAGTCTCAGATATTGCACCAAAATGGGAACTTCTGGGATGCTAATCAGCTTCATCTGCAACTTATACAGAATTTAGATTCATTTACTCCCATCACAAGGGGCAGTGGCTGGAGCTATAGATATATCTATCTTTATTGTATGTTACCCATGGATTTTGGAATCTATTCGGTTCTGATGTTTGCATAGTCAATAGATTCAAAAAATCAGTTCAATAGGGGGGGGGGGTTCACATATGGTCAGTATCAGTAAAAATTCATGGACCATCAGCAAACCTTTGAGTTAAATGGGTATGTGACAGGCCAGATTCAATCATCAGTCAACCAGATTTCACACCCACACCAGCAAGCAACACCCCCCTAAGTGAACAGGGCTCATGGATGCACCCACTAACTGCATCAAGCATTCATCACCTCTCAAAAATGATCAGACATAAAGAAGTGTTTTATGGATTGATAATTATGTTCCACCTGGGCAAATGTGGGGTTTCAAATGTTGTATTTATGGAATCCTGATAATTTTTCTGGGACATGATATGCATGTAGAAGCTTAAGGGTCCTAAGAGGACCCAGGAAAGCGAGTTTTGTTTACCCAATGTATCTACTATAAACCGAAGATACAGGTGTCATCATCTTCGGTTTAAAGCCGGATTCACAGCTGAGCTGGGGGAGCTCAGCTCAGCTGCACAAAATTCTTCCCCCCCTGACGCCTCATGGGGTTTTAGTTTATCATTATTAACCTTCCAGACATGTTTCCAACAGTTTCTGTCCAAAAAAAATTTGGCCATTTTGGTGTGGTGAGCTGAACCAGCTCAGCCCAGCTCCCCTGCACATAGAGCTCAACCCAGCTCTACACAGCTCCTGTACACACCTCAGCCAACCCATCCAGCTCAACCCAGCTCCCACTCAGCCAACCCATCCAGCTCACCCCAGCTCCCACTCAGCCAATCCACTCGCAGCTCACCCCAGCTCCCAAGACACAGCTCCACGC